AAGGTAATTATTCAGAATACGGTCCTCACCTCCGATTTCGATGAAATTAGGCTCATTCGACGCGTTTTTGCACAAAATGAAAGAATCTGTAAGAAAAAATGTTGGGACGGCCCCGCGAACCGAGATATTAAGCGTTAAACTTAACGACTATAGAGGTTAGGAAATCTGTCACAGCCACATTACCACTCTGGCGGTTCTCTCAGAAACTAAATCTAGAGTTCTGAGCGTTCCAACAAGACTTTACACAGTGGAACACAGTGTAACGTCTCTGTGTCCTAGCTGGAAAACAGCCAGTGCTACAAATGCTCTGTAGCGTTTGAAGCGCTAAGTGGACCGCAGCTTTAGATACGGATCGCGCAGTCTGTCTAACCTCTACAATACACGTGCCATGAGTGCGCGCGCATACGGTCCCCCATGCATGCGCATTCGAAGTACACGAATTGTGAAAGAGAGAAGTCGATTTTCTATCTCACTATCTTGGCACACCTCCCACTCGCAAAAAGAGGCTACATTAGCAATATAGTAGTATTATATATATATGAAAGAACTTCAAGTTTTTGTTTCTATTCGAGAAATCTGATTGAAATAAACAAAATCGTTTTTCGTCAAGATTGACATTTATTTTTTATTAAAAAATTCTCCCATATTCTTAGTACAAATACAAAGAATTTAAGCCATATTTGATTATGGTCAAAATTTTTATCCATGTTTTTTTTAATTTTTCAAAATATACGTATTATTTAATGTTAGTAGATCTTTAATCTGCTGACGAATTACATAAATCGTGTTATTTCATGACAATACTAGAGAATATATTTTTAGTTTCATAATTATTTAGGGAATATAAGAATTTACAAGAATATTATTCGAATAAAATAACATCTTTTAGAATATGTAAAGAAATTTATTAATAAATATTGGATTATTTTTATTTTTCAGTTTTTTTTTCACTCTTTGTACGTTTTATAATTCAAAAAGTTTGAAAATTTTTTTACAATAAACGTACCATTTTTGAGAAATAATACTATGAATTTTTTGAGTCTTAGATACAGGTTTTGTTCTTTCAAATTGAGTCGTAAGATATTCTTTTGCTAAGTTATATTCTTCCGTTATTGAGAACTTTACTACGATATTTGGCATATTCATTGGATCTGACGCCCACCCGAACAGTTCATGTAGAGTAGTTATCTAGCGATCAGATTGGCGTTGAAGGCTTGCATCAGTAACCGTTTTTTTATGTTTTCCAAAATTATCAATGAATTTGTAAGGATTATTTCGAATGATCTTGCTAAGATATACTATTTTTTTTATGGTGCTCCTCAACAATTCAAAAACTTTGCAAATATCTATTATCATGAAGAAAACTTTTGAGTGCCGGAGCTGAATGGCATTTTTTTGCCAAGCCGCATGGCAAGCATTCATGTGACGGAATAGGTGGTACAGTAAAAAGAATGGCTACTCATGCAAGCCTTCAATGCCCATCTGATCACGAGATAACTACTTCACATGAACTGTTTGAATGGGTGTTAGATCCAATGAATTTGCCAAATATCGTAGTAAAGTTCTTACTAAGAAGAATATATCTCAGCAAAGGAATATCTTCCAACTCGATTTGAAAGGGCAAAGCCTGTACCTAAGATTTAAAAAATTCATAGTATTATTCTTCAAAAAATGGTACGTTTATTGTAAAAAAATTTTCGAACTCTTTGAATTATGAAATGTACAAAGAATGTGGAAAAAGAACTGCAAAATAAAAATGATCCAATATTTATTAATAAATTTCTTCACATATTGTAAAAGACGTTATTTTATTCAAATAATATTCTTATAAATCCTTATTCCCTAAATTGTGAAGTTAAAAATATATTCTCTAATATTGTTATGAAATAACATGATTTATGTAACTCATCAGCAGATTAAAAATCTACTAATATTAAACAATAGATTTAATATTTTGAAAAATTAAAAAACGTAGACGGAAATTTTGACCATAATCAAATATGGCTTAAATTCTTCGTATTTGTACTAAGAATATGGAAGAATTTTTTTATAAAAATAAAAAATGTCGATTTTGACGAAAAATCGACTTTATTTCAATCAGATTTCTCGAGCAGAAACAAAACTTGAAATTTTTCATATTTTTTTCTAATAGAATTTTAAGATGATCAATTTGATGTGGTTATTTTTTGTTTTTCCATAATTTAAATAGAAGTTATGTTCAATTAAATGTTTACGAAATAAAATAAATTGAAAATATTAAAAAATTCATATCTAGGAAACTAACGAAGATCAAAATCTAAAAAAATAACTGAATACGTATTTTAATCTGAGAAATATATTTAAAAATCAGTAAAAAAAATCGACAGGGATCGGTGATAAGGGCCATCCGATTTGGTGTGGAATGTCCCATATATAAAATACGTGTACAAAGTGGATACTCTAAAAGATTTTAAGATGTTAATTCTTTACACAAATTTAAAATGAAATTGCCTATGATCACATGTCTAAAATGGCTTCAGAAAAAAGTTTCAAATATACAGGATGTCAAGTAGTGACAGTAAAAGAAAGACGAGTAGGAACTATATCTTAAGATAGCTGAACCTAGTCACAGAGTCATCTACGTTTAAAGAGTTTCTCTACGACTTCCGCTAAGTCGATACGGATTACCGAAAGTTTTCCGTATATACGTGACGTGGGATTTGAACCCGCAATCTATCAGGTACGAATTTCGTTGCTCTCACACAGTGCCACACGACATCCCTTACAAAATATCTCTACAGAATTGGAAAAAAATTTTTTTCCGAAAATTTCGAAAAATTCGGATGAATTTTGTATTTAAAGTTTTATCAAAATAACCCGAGTAGTTATCGAAGTTTTGGAAAAAGACGAAAGTCTTCCTTCAATTTTGACATGCTATGTTTGAAGTATATTTGAAACTATTATTTTGGATATATGATCATATGAAGTTTTCATCGTGAATTTATGTGAAGAATCAACTCTTAAAATTTGTTGAGTACTTATTAATATCGACCCTGTATTGTATATTTAATGTATACTTGGTATTCAATATACTTTTCAATAAATGACTTATTTTATTTATAATTTTTATTTAGTTTTTATATAAAAATTTATCTATGATGATGAAAAATTATCAAAGAATAATAAATACATTTTGTTATTACTTATTTTATCGATTTTCTCTATCATTATGATGATAATTATTGATATTGTATTAAACATTCAATATTATTTTTAGTGTTTGATTTTAAGTAACTGTGAGTGGTTTACGCCACATTCCTTACTAGTTATTA